TTGTTGTTTTGTTAATAAAGAATCATTTGTTATTAAAATATCAAATGATTTTCCATCAAGTAAATTTGAAATAAATCCTTCATTTTTAATTTTTATTTTATATTGTTCAAATTTTTTTGAACCTTGAATTTCTCATTTTTGGATATTTCTAAGTTTGTGTAATTTATCTTTTTGTTTATCATCAAGGTATTTAGCATCATCAATAGTATCTTTCCAAATATTTTCTAATCGTGTTGAGTCTTTTTTTTTAATTATTCTATTTTTGATCGAATCATATTTTTTTTTTTGATTAATTTTGAAAATTTTATTATTTATACTTTTTAATAAAATTGATATTTGTATGGTTGTTAAAATCTTATCATTGTTGATAGTATCAAATAAATTATTCAAAGTTAAAATTTTTTCTGTTTTATCTTTTAAATCAGTATAATAACCATATTGTTCAAGATGTAATTTATCTAATTTTAATATTCTTAATTTTTGTAAATCATTAATTAAATTTGGCAATAATTTTGAATTATTTATTCTTTGATCTAAATTTCTATTATCAATCAATTTTATTGCATCAGGTCTTTGGGTTTCTTCAATTTCTTTTTTTAATTGATCAAATAAATTATTAATTATAGGTGGAGGAGTTTGTTCAGATTGTTTTGCTTGAGGATCATCTATTTCTACATCTTTGTCTTGTTCTGGTAGGTCTGGTTTATCTTCAGTTTGTTCTTGATTTTGGTCTTGATTTGTTTGTTGATTTGAATAATATTATATTAATGCTTGCTCAAGGGCCATAATAATAGTAATATGTGTTTTATCAATATTCAGTTTTTTATTATCAATTGATTCAGAATAATGATAACAACAATCTTCAAATTTATTATTATATTTGCATTTACAAGATATTTTAAATAAAATAAAAATTAAAAAATAAAAAAAAAGAAAACTCCTATATTTATATTAAAAAATTAAATTAAATTTCTGCATCTTTTGGTTCATCATCTTTCATCAGGTTTTTTCTATTACCATTTGATCTTGTTGTAATTGCTGTACAATTATTTGTGCTAAATCTAATGCATTTTCAATATCAGCATTATATCTATATGCTATTTCAATTTCTCCATTACTAATATATACTGGTAAACTACTTTGTCCTGCTGGAAGTGAAAAATTTTCCCCTAAATAATAACTTAGCACATCTGTAAGATGTCTAGGATCTTGTTGTTGTTGATTTTGTGGATCTGGTGTGGTATTTTGATACATTTTCTTCTAGTTTTAAAAAATCCTTGCATATAATCAACCACTATGATTAATGCAAAATTTGCTGTATTAAATATATTTTGATCTATTTCATCTTTCTCAGGAAGCATACAAACCTTTTGTTCATTTTTATCAAATTGATAATACATATAAAAATTCTAATCTTTTAATAAACATTCTGTATTATCACAAGAAATTTTTCCATAGTATGTTGCCAAAATTTCAAAATAATCTTTTAATTCTGGATTTTCTAAATTTTCAGGGTTTACAAGAATATCTGCTGGTGTTACATCATTTTGTATTTTTTTTTGCTAAATCTTTATCACAAATTCTAACAAGATAAAAATTTAATCCCATTTTTGAAAGCAAAGGAGTCAGTAAGGTAGCACCCTCAGCAACAGGAATTTTATAATGATCTACCCATTGTTGATCAGTAAGATCACCAAAAACTGTATTACCAATTCCTTCTAATGGTGCAATTTCAAGTAAATTTCTAATTTGTCCAGTATGAACTGATGTAAAAACTAAATGAATTGCAATATCTGATAATATAAGTTTGTTATATTTAGATCTTTCTTGTTGAAATAATTTTTAAAACCATACACGTTTATATACAGTATCATTATAAAATAATTCGTTATTTGCAAAAGTTGCCCCAAAATTTATTCTATCAACTTTTGATTCAGAAGGTCTTTTAACTTGATATGCATTGTAAGCACCTTCATCACCAACACTACATGTTCCAATCACGCAAGGTTTTTTCTTACTACCACCAGTAATTTCATATCTTTGTTTATTAGATATTTTTGTTTATAATATATTTTTATTACAACAAGAACCAAATTTGACTTGTGATTTCTTTTTTTGTGATGTTTTAGTTGTTTTTTT